GGAGGAGGAGGACCCGCAGCTGCTGCCTGCAGTGTTTGTTGCAGGGCTCTGTGGGGGGCTGATGTGACAGTTTATGGTATTAAGGCTTTGCAGCAGCACAAAGAGGGAATTTTTAGCCCTGGGGCTTCCTCACGCACATGAGAAGGCTGGGGATGGTGGGGACACAGAGCTCGCTTGCATTGTGTGGCACCTGCTGAGCCTGCCACACTCCGACCCTTCAGGGTGCTTCTCTCAGCTCAGGCACAGGGAATGTGGCCCTCAAAGCCCAGCTCTGGTTAAGTGATCCTGGAAAAGCCACAGCCATTTGCTGTGTCCCCACTGTGGTTCCAGGGCTCACAGGACCCCTGTAAGCATATCCATGGGCTTGACCACCGGGACCTGCACGCCCCCCGTCAGAGCCACTGCCAGCCCCAAGGCACTGGGGCAGGAGCCCGTTGTGCCAGCAAACCCCTCACCATGGTGGTCTCGGTGACGGAGCCGAAGCTGTTGATGAAGATGTTGCACGTCACGTTGACGGGCGGACCTGAAAAACAGTGTGAAGCCTCAATTTGCTGCTGGCCACGGAGACATGCGAGGGGCAGAGTACCCCCTCCTGCATGCACGGTGGGAATGGATGCACATGAGCATCCCCTGCCTGCCGAGGGGCCGCGCAGGATGTTGGTGTGAGCCCCACTATAGCCAGGCACAGCAGGCACATGCAGGGCACTAGGATCACACACAGGGAGGGTGTTGGGATGGAGGGATGTGGGTCGGGGCCCTACCCCCAAACCATACCTGCCCATTCGCTGGCATAAGTGTGGGTCTCTGCCAGGTTTGGGAGCCTCATGTCCTCCCCTTACCTTTGAAGTTGGGTCGAATCCGGGCATCATACCCTGACGTTCGTCCCATAAGCTTGTCCAGGAAATCAGAGGGCGACATGGGCTGGGGTGAGCTTCGGGAAGCAGTTTGGGAGCCTCATGTCCTCCCCTTACCTTTGAAGTTGGGTCGAATCCGGGCATCATACCCTGACGTTCGTCCCATAAGCTTGTCCAGGAAATCAGAGGGCGACATGGGCTGGGGTGAGCTTCGGGAAGCAGCTTTGATTTCCTCCCGCCCTGAGACCAGCC